GCCGCCCGCCTCCCCAGCGCGGCCCGGGGCTGCGATCCCGCTTTGCTGGGCAGCGAACGGGGCCTCCGGGGGCGCGGGCGGCCCGGCTCACACTTCCTCGTCCCGGAACCGCAGCCGGCTGGTCTCGCGAGGCTCAGCCGCCCGCCGAGGCCTCCGTCGTTCCTCCGCGGCGCCCCGCCCCCGCGCAATTCCGCAGCCCCGCGGCCGGAACCCGGAGCCCTGCGTTCGCGCTCGGCCTCCCTCCCGCCGCGCCGCGCGTCCGCCGGCCTGCGTGTCGCTGGTGGGGAGCGAGGTGAGCGCCCGGGAGAGCCGGCCACGTGGCGTGGGGCGGGGAGGGTGCTTCGGGGAGCAGTGTTTGCCCCCGGGAGCGCCCCGGGGGTCGGGGCCGCTGGCTGTTCCCCGGCACTCGGTGTGTGGGCTTGCCTCAGGACCCGGAACTCGGCGAGGAGCGAGGATAACCTACTTTACCGAACTTGAGCCATGAGCCCGGATTGGCTCTAAGCGCTTTATCTACGGGAACTCATACATTTATAGCCTCCCGGTGCCCTGCGGTTTTACGCGCGCTCTGCCGATGAGGAAAGTGGCTTAGAAAGTGGAGGAGCGCACAGCCACCGGCAGGAGACCACCCTCTCCTGACACCTGTGCCTCCTTCCACCTGCGGGAGGCCGACCCCGGGAGCTCTGCCGGGGTGCCTGCCCTTGGGAGACGCCCAGTCGTCCTCCCCTTGGTCCCCACCCACCGCCCGCTCCCGATCACCAAGCGATCACCAAGGGGCCCTTTAGCCCCGCTGACATCAATCACCGCAAGACCCCTGGGACTCCCGGGCTCTTTCTGCTTAAGTCAGAACATATTACCCTGGTGTTTTGAAATTGAGGTCAGCAAGAATGGAAAAAGAACGTTGGTGACCCCTCAGGCTGCAGAATGAAAAACTCCCATAAATGTAAAACAAGCGAAAGCAGCTGTACGTGACATCATATAAAAGTAGCAAGCCCAGCCCCTGGGCCTGAATAGATCCTTAACAGAATTTACTTGTTGATGCCATTGTACACATGGTTATGACTAGTAAGGGACACAGGAAATGGTGATACATAAACATAAAGGAACGGGCAGACGGAGAATGGGAAGGACCTCTTGACTCCCAATTCAGGTTTGCTGCTGTGAAAAGCCCTTCTTTTCTGAATGCTGAATTCAAGCCCTGAATACTTTTGTCCTTTTGCAGATGTTCACTCTGCCTCAGAAGGAATCTAGGGCACCTGCCACCTGTCCGGGCCCAGCCTCCACACAGGACCTGGACAGTAACTATGAGGATGGTCTGGAAAGAGAATGCTCCAGAAAACCAGACCGGAAGGTGCCAGAGTTCTGTGGAGTGGGTGATCCCACTGCCATGTTATCCTCAGACAGCTCTTACCTGTCCTCTAGGGGAGGCATCATTAAGTGGTTCTGGGACTCGGCAGAAGAGGGCTACAGGACCTACCACATGGACGAGTATGATGAGGATAAGAACCCCAGCGTGAGTGAGACCCCTGTCCCCACTGGACCCCAAGGGAGGACTGCAGGGTGGGATGCCCTACCTTGACCAAGAGGTTGGTCTAGATGCTGGGGTTACATCCGTGAGCAAAAGCAAAGTTCCTGCCCTCATGGAGTTTTTGTTCTACTGGGGGAGGCAGATGGGGAACAGACCAAAAAAAAAAAAAAAATCCCTGTAATAGATGGTGATAAGTGCTGTAGAGAAGATAAAGCAGGGTAAAGAGGATAGAGAACGATGGGGCGGTCTGGGGATGTTGCTGTTTTATGTAAGGTGGTCACAGAGGGCCACTTTCCTAAGGTGACGATTCGAGTAGAGACCTGAAGAAAGCAAAGGATTGTATAGTTATCTCTTGCTGTGTAACAAATTACCCTAGATTTCAGCAGCTTAAAAGAAACATTTCATAATTTCTGGGATTCAGGATCTGGGTGGGTGCCTCAGGCTCAGAATCTTCTGTGAACTCGCAGTGATGCCAGGGTTGTGATCTCATCTTAGGCTTGACTTGGTGGGGGGCACGGGAGAGGATCACTTCCAGGCTCGTTCTTGTGGGTGTTGGCAGGCCCCAGTCCCTGGTTACATGGGAAGCTCCACAGGACTGCCTCATGACATGGCAGCGGGCTTCCCCCAGGGCAGGCGATCCAAGAGAGAAGGAGACACCATGAGTACCCAGGATGGAAGCCAGGGACTTTATACCCTATTCTTGCAAGATTTCACATCTGCATATTCTGTTCGTTAGAACTGGGTCACTAGGTCCAGCCCACACTCATGGGAAGGCCAAGGAAGGGTGTTTGGAATGCAGGACCACTCCCGCTTTGCCTTTCTGCCTCGGTGTGCATCTCGGGCCTTCCTTTGGGACCCCTCGGCTATGCTCACCGTGCCTCCGTATCTCTGTCTCCAGGGCATCATTAACTTGGGCACCAGTGAGAACAAACTCTGCTTTGACCTGCTGTCCAGGCGGGTAAGTCCTGGTGCACCTCTGAGTGGCATCAATAGCTCCCACGGACTGTCTGCTCTTGGACTTCCCTTGAAGGCTTCCCTGACCAGAGCCTGCCGCTTGCCTCCGCAGCCCTGGCCTGAGTCAGCCCACCCCGGTTCCAGATCTGCCTCAGGGACAGCTTTCTCTGTGGTCTTGGGCGAGCCACTTCCCTGTTCTGGTCCTGCGTCTTCACCTCTTCCCCATACTCAGTCCCTCCTGCTCTCACGGCTGGGGAGCGGGGGAGCACTCAGTGGGGTGTGGTCAGTATTTATCAACCACGTCTGGGGTAGGGAGGACTCTGATTTGCAGCTTTTGCTAATTCCCGTAGTGTAAATACTCCACCGTGGCTGATTTCAGGCCACGGATGTGACATCCCTGCACACAAAGTTGGGCAAAGGGGGGTTGTGGCACCCATTATGTAGTGTCCCCACCATGTAGACACAAGATGGAAATAGCTTCAAGAACACACATGAAATGTAATAACATAGGGACGCCTGGGTGGCTCCATTGGGTAAGCGTCTGCCTTCGGCTCAGGTCATGATCCCAGGGTCCGGGGATCGAGCCCCACATCGGGCTCCCTGCTCAGTGGGGAGCCTGCTTCTCCCTCTGCCTGCCACTCCCCATGCTTGTGCGCACTCTCTCTCATAAATAAATAAATAAAATCTAAAAAAAATGTAGTAACATAATCAGAGGCAGTGATGTTTTAGTTATTACCTTTGTTTTTAGTGTAATTTACTTATTTATACATTTATAGAATTTAATTTTTTTAAATGGCTGTTTTTTTAAAACACAGCATATAAAATTCCTGGAAACTTAATAGTTCGAGCCATTTCTAGCAAACCAGTGAAAATGCCTGATAAATGTGTCTCCCAAGGCCACACACTCAAAGTTTGGGATTGTAGAGAAAGCGACGGCTAACCCAGAGGAACTTATTTCCGAGGGTGACAAATCCAAGACCCAAGGGGAGAGGGGTGTAGGAAGGGGGCTTAAGATGCATGTTCTATCTAGCCAGTTCCCTGCTGCACTGTCCAATAGAAGTAAAATGTGAGCCACGAATATAACTTAAAATTTTCTGTTAGGTAAGTAAAAAGAAATTGGTAAATTCATCTTAGTAATATATTTTATTTAGCCCCATACATCCAAAATAGGACCGTTTCAACATGTAATCAATCTGAAAAATTAGGATATATTACGTACTGTTTTCATATCAAGTCTTTCAAATCCAGTGGGTCTCAGTTCAGACGAGGCGCGTTCCAGGTGCTCAGGAGGCACGCGTGGCCACAGCCTTGCTGGACGGCGCGGCTCCCTGGGCCGAGGGAGAGACAGAGAGGCTGGCGTCATACACGAGTGGCTGACCGCCCTTCTCCTTTGGTTCACTCCCCCAGACTTCTGCCTTTCCTTGACGTCGTGTCTGTGATGCCCAGTGAGTTACTAACCCAGCACCTGGTCAGGGTGGGGACGGTGTAGAAATGGCCACACTTTCTGAAGCGTAAGGTGGAGCCAAGCCTGCAGGAACACAATGGCCCGAGTCCCTCCAGAAGTTGGAGCCAACACCGAGGTGATGGCACCCAATTCTGGGACGCCTTTTGTCACCCCAGGGAGAAGCTGAGCAGCATGGTCTCTATCCCTGCCTCTACAAATCCACCCCTCTGGGTGTTTATGTATTTATCTATTCAAAAGATTTATTTATTTGAGAGAGAGAGAGAGGGTGTGCACAAACACGGATGGGGCAGAGGGAGAGGGAGAGAGAGAGAAGCTCAAGCAGACTCCTTGCTGAGCACGGAGCCCGACATGGGGCTCGATCTCACGACCCTGAGATCCCAACCTGAGTGGAAATCAAGAGTCAGATGCTTGACAGACTGAGCCACGCAGGCACCCCCACCCCTCCAGGTTTTGAGATGGCAGTGTTGTTTAAAGAGCACTGAATTAGGAGTCAGACCTTCTGGGTTTTGTCTCAGCTCTGCCACTTGCCAGCTCCATGACCTTGGCTGAGTCACCTCACTTTTTTGAGCCTCGGTTTCCTCATCTGCAAAATAGGCAGAAGCCGTGCCCGTGCTGTCTTTCTGCTGGTTTCTCTGATGAGCGGACCGAGGCCGGGCTTTACTGGCCTGGGTGCAGTGTGGATGCGGGGGCAAGCGCCGGTGGTCACCAGGAGGGTGTGTGGCCCTCAGCCCCGCTCTTCCTCTGTCCCCAGCTGAGCCAGAGCGACATGCTGCGGGTGGAGCCGTCCCTGCTGCAGTACCCTGACTGGAGGGGACATCGGTTGTAAGTAGCTGCCGTGGGCCGGTGGGTCTCAGCCCTGGGTGGTCTTGCTCTCCAGGGGACCTAGGGCATCTGGAGACACTTCTGGTTGTCACAACTGGGAAGGGGCTGTTACTGGCATTTACTGGGTAGAGGCCAGTGATGCTGCTAAACCTCCTACGGTGCCCAGGATAGCCCCCACAACAAATAATTATCCCACCCCAAATGTGAATATGGCAGGTGGAGAAAGCCTGCCTTAGGCCGAGGGCCCGTCCTGGGGGCCTGGCGATCCTGGGGTCTCCTGGAGGGTTTGCAGGGATCTAGTCCCTCTGCTGGTTCCTCCCCAGCTCAGGAGCTCCGTCGCTTGCGTTCCCTAGGTCTGAGGCCTGCGGAGGGCCTTCAGGCATGGAGTCCTTGTCTCCGCTCTCTCAGTAGTTTTACAGGAACCAGGATCAGGCTTGGGGGGCTGCTGGCGAGGGCATTTTCCTCCTGGTCAGATGGGGTGTGCTAAATAATGCTGCTAATTGGAGTTGGTACTTAGTGAGCACCTGCTGGGGGCAGCCGCTGTTCCAGGGGCTTAGTGGCCAAACAGGACTTGGTTCCAAAGCGCATGTTCCTATAGTGATGAGGATGGAGGGCCCTGGAGACAGCCCGCTGGCTCGAGTGTGGACTCTGCCACTGACCAGCAGGTGACTTAGTTCCTTCAAGCCTCAGTTTCTTTGTCTGTAAAATGGGAATAATAATGGCATCATAGGGTTGTTATAAAGATTAAATGAGTAAAATTCCCCAGGTAACTCCTGCATAATGCACATGCTCCAACAGTGACGCTGACGCTAGTTACTGTTACAATAACATTATTGCTATTAGCTAGATCTACATGTAGATGGAGCTGCTTTTGCTGTCCCTGAGGCCGGCGGACTAGGTGGGTCGGGCGTCCTGGAACTACAGAGAATGCAAGTCTCCGTGTGTGGGTAGTGGTGGGGCAGGGGGCTGGTGGGCCCTGCGACGTGGAGGCCACGTTCACCCCACTGCCCTCGTGGGAAACCAGAGAAGGTTAATGGCATCCGGGTGAAGGTTCACCAGAGGAGCTTTGGGATGGACCGTGGGTTGGGGATCATCTGACAAGCGCTGCCCATCCTCTGTCTGATCTCTAGCCTCCGGGAGGAAGTGGCCAGATTCCTGTCTTTCTACTGCAAGAGGCCTACACCCCTTAAGCCAGAGAATGTGAGTTGTCCCCTCCTTGGCTCTCCCCTGCTCTTTTGCCCACCTCCCCCAACCCATGCAGGGGTAGGGTGGGCTTGGGATCTGCCTTTCACTCGGTTTTGACCTGTTTCCAGGTGGAATTAGGAACACCCCCTCCCTTTGTCTTCCTCATCCTAGATATTTAGGATATAATTTGGTTACAATTTCTGCTCCAGTTTGTTCTGTGGTCCCTCGTTGCCTTCATACCTTCAGGCAAGACGCTCTGAGTGACCAGCTCCCTCTTCCTTGCTCTGTTGATCCAGAGCGTGGTCCAAAGAATAAGCCACAGATGCACTTGGCTGTTAAGAGAGGCCTTTGGCTTCCTCTGGTGGCTTTGCTGTGACAGAGGGCACTGTCCCTCCCTCTATGCCAGCCTGGATACAGCTGTAGGTCCTTGCTCCCTCCTGGACGGATACTCATTTTTATCACATGGATGTGTCACCTGCAGGTGGTTGTTCTGAATGGCTGTGCCTCTCTCTTCTCGGCTCTGGCCACGGTGCTGTGTGAGGTCGGGGGTAAGTGACCCACGGCCTGCTCAGCTTTGGGAGCCGCCCTATGCCTGCAGGGTCCACAGTTGCCTGTCTTTGCGGGCTGCATCAGAACGCCTTTGGCCACAGTAGACTACGAGACTGCAAGGGGCTTAATGAGTGGCTTGACCAGATACCCGGATGTCGGCAGTTTCAGAGGTCAACGTGATGCCAGGGTTCGGGGCCTATCTCTGGGATGACCTTGGTTTTTCCCTTCCTGTGATGGCTGTCGCATCCTTACACGAGAGTGGGTCCTAAAGCAGGACAAAGGGGAAAGGCTGTGCCTTGCCTGTGTCTTTGTTTTATTGGGAGGGGGCAGGGGAGATACTCTTTCCCGAAGAAAGTCCCAGCAGAGCTCCCCTTACGTCTCACTGGCCAGAACCGCCTCACAGACCCGTTCCCAGAGCAGCCCCTGGTAGACGGGTAAGAACCACAGCGGACTTCAACCAAATGTGGTTCATCCCCAGGGGCTGGGGGAAGAGGCCCTCCGTCCTCGGACTTAGTGCTGGTCATCCCTGGGAAATCTGGTGCTCTCTGAGCCAGGAAATTGGAATGGCTGTAGAGTAGGCAGCCAGCACCATCTGCTAGAGGAGCCGTAGTGGGACTGAGAGCGGGTTCCGGTCAGGGGTTATTGTCACCAGAACAGAGGCCCACTCACACCAGCTTCGCTGACAGTGATCATATGGGTGAGCTTTACTGACCACATGCTATGTTGCAGGCACTGGCCTAAGGCTTTACACATAGGCCCATTTAATCCTCACTTCTCCCCTCTGAGGTAGGTCCTGTGCCATCCCCATGTCCCAGATGAGGACATTAGGGCACAGGGGGTTAAGTGACTTGTCAGATTCACACACACAGATAAGAACCAGGATTTGAACCATAAGAAGAAGATTCATCGCAAGGATAGGATAGGCAATTTCCTACCCATTCTCGAACAGTCAAGAACGGGATTCAGTGTCCCAGTCTCCACCTCTCAAGGGGTTAGACAGTCCCTCCTCCCCCTCCCCTTTGTATGTGCAGACCTCTCTCTGGACCTTCCGCAGCTGCCCCAGCTCCACCTGCTCATGACCTTTCTGCTCAGGTGCACGTTCTCACCCCCTGAGTGTCTGTGCTTCCTGGAGCGAAGTCGTGAGAGAGAGCATGCACGTGACGGGTTTCTGGCCAGCTGGTGGTTGGCTCCCTCAGGTCCCTTGTTTCCCTCTGGTCCACTCCCCGTGGCTGGGGTAGGGAACATGTAGGACAAAGCTGCCCCTTCCAGAGCTGTGAGTGGGGCAGACTGGGGGAAGGGAGGGCAGCTTGACCTCGCATCCTCTTCGGAACTAGGGGAATGCCTGCCTCTGCATTAGGGTACACCTTGGAGGTCATCAGCCCCCCTCTGCCCCTCCAGCTAGAATCTTCCGCATGACATGCCTCCCAACCAGATGGCCTCAGCCTTGTGTTTGAATGTCCCCAGGGAGGGAGAATCCACTCCTCCTGAACACACTCTATCTCTGCGCAATTCTGTATGCCGTCACGTTTGTCCATTTGTTGAGCCCAGATCACCCCGCAGCTTTGACTCACTGGATCCCGGTCTGTCCTTGGAGTGAGCGGGCACGTGGAGTGCTTCAGAGGGATCCTCTGAGGTTCAGTGTCCTCATCGGTAAAGTTAGGGTGACAAGAGTACTGATGTCCCAGAGCGGTTGTGAGGCCCAAATGAGATAACACACAAACACACGTTTAGTCCAGTTCCCAGCACGTAGTAAGCATTCAGTACATGTCAGCTGCAGATGATCAGAAAAGGGACTCATACCAGTGGATCCAGGTGTTAGTGAGAGCTTGGGAGTTGAGAGACGGCGTGTAGCCCCGGTGTTCCCCCAAGGGCATGGAAGGCTGGGAGGGGTGTGGAGCCTGTGGGCAGGGTTGGCTGGGTGTTCTGGCCAGAGGGTGACAGGCCCTGGCCCGTTCCTGCCCTCAGAGGCTTTCCTGATCCCCACACCTTACTATGGAGCCATCACACAGCACGTCTATCTCTATGGCCACGTCCGTCTGGTCTGTGTCTATCTGGACAGTGAGGTAAGAGTTCCTGAGACCCTGGTGGGACCCGGGCCTTCCCGTAGGGGAAGACTTTCCTCTCTCCGAGTTTGAGGGCAGACATGGGAGGAATCCGTGCTGCAAGGGGAGTAGACCCTTCTGCTGCCCAAGGCTGTCCGTACCTGGCTTCCCCTGGGGCTCCCCAGGTCCCGGCTCTGAGATCTGGGGTCAGTGTAGAAGCCAAGGGCAGCCGCAGGGAGACTACATCAAAATGGTGGGGTGAGGATGGGGCAGAGCAGACCTCAACGTGTAAGTTCTTAGGCTCCAGTCAGAGGAGGTGTCCCTGATGTGATGGGGTGGGCAGCAAGGAGGGGAGTGACCCTGCCAGAGTTTTTGCAGAGACTGTTCTAAGGAGGCTAGAGATGACGGGTAGGAGAGGCCCCAGAAGCTCAGGTTTGGGGGATCACTGAATTGGGCTGATGGCTTTTCTCCGTCTTTTTCCAGGTCACTGGGCTGGACACACGCCCCTTCCAGCTCACCGTGGAGAGGCTTGAGATGGCCCTGCAGAGAGCTAATTCTGAGGTCTGGTGGTCAAGTCAAACCCAAGGCTGGGAGTGGTGGGTCTGAGCAGGGCACGGACTTCCTGTGGCTGATCTCATCCCCACCGTGGGGTTGGCGCTCCCTGATGGGGTTGGGGTGTCAGATGGTCACAGGGAACCATTCTGGGGGTCAATCAGGAGCCCGTGGAAGGTCTTCCCACTAGAGAAAGACTCTGAGACCTGTGTACAAAGAGTCAACCAGGGAACTCGATGAACATCCCCCACCCCTGCTGCACCCGAGTTTGATTCAGTGGGTCAAGTGTGGAGCTTAGTGGTCTGACGTTCAGTGGTCTCCCTGGTCATTCGAGGAGGTCATTCCCCTGTCACGATCCCCTTTGAGGACACCTCCTGGAGAAAGGCAGAGATGAGTACCGCTCCCGTGGTTCCTTTCCAGTCCGTCCGTGGCCATTACCGTCATATGTGCCTGCTGTAGGAATTCTAAAAGTGCAACCCCCGCCCGTTATTCTACCAACAGAGGCAGCCTTTACTGGCATTTGGGCCTGTTGGCCTCTGGGCTTTGTTCTCTGCCTCTGGTTTCCTTCCCGGTTGACGCGATGCACATATGGATGTCTGCTGCAGATACGTGATTCTCTGCCCTTGTCTGCTTCACGCTGGGTCGTGGATGTGTTCCCATCCCATTTCCCCAGGGGCCCGCCCAGCCGCAGGCCCCATTCAGTGGGAGTGTGTGGCTCTGGCCTTCAGGAGCAGCTGAGCGTTTCCTGCCCCACTGATGGTTTCAGGGTGTGAAGGTTAAAGGTCTCATCCTCATCAACCCCCACAACCCTCTGGGCGACATCTACTCCCCAGGAGAGCTGCGGGACTACCTGGAATTTGCCAAGAGGTGAGGCCCCCCCACAGTCACCCCACAAAACGTCCTGGCAGACCAGGATACCGGTGTGGGCTTTGGTACAGACTCTTCTACCCTGTCCACTCCGCTGTGGGCTCCCGCCTGCTTTGGCCCTTTCCCAGCAGTGGGGTGGAGGGGCCAGGGGTTTGTGGGGTGCTAGTTCTCTCTCTCCCTCTTTCTTTTTAGGACAACAGCTGTCCTGTATTGTATCCCCCCAGGGGCCGGGTACCCTGCTAAGCTCTTCACATGCCATATCTCATGCAGTCCTCCCAGTCACCCTATTAGTCATGCGTCATTGTCCCCAGGTTACTGAGCCTTAGAGTGAGCAGTGGAGCCAGACTTGAATCTGGGTCTGTCTGTACATACCTGTTTGGCACTCAGTTGGGCCCTTCTTCCGTGGAGGTGCCCGAGGCCTCCGCCTCTCCTCCACAGTGCTTCAAAAGCCCCACTGTCATCTGCTTTGTGTGTGCGGCTTCCTGTGTGAAAATTGAGACATGAGAAAGGTGTCTCTGGAAAAAAGTTTGGTAGCCCTGGGCTCGACCCTAGTCCCATTGGGTTTCTGAGTCATTGCTTCCCCACCATGGGGGACCTATCTGGCCTGCAGAGCAAGCCGTCTCCTCCCCGGCCCTGCCCCCCCAGGCACGAGCTGCACGTGTTGGTGGATGAGGTCTACATGCTGTCCGTGTTTGAGAAGTCGGCGGCCTACTGCAGCGTCCTGAGCCTGGAAGGGTGAGTCTGCCCTGTCACAGCCAACTCTGCCAAGCCCCAGTCCCCGGGCCCCTGTGGCTCGGCCCACAGGGCAATGACCTGTCCTGGGGCAGTTCCTCTTCCATCCAGCTGGTCCCAATGTCCTCAGATCCCCTAAAGAGAAGATGGGAGGGCCGGGCTGCATCAGGGGTTTTCAAATTGTTCTGTGGGGTTTCTGAGAGCTCCAAGGAGGGCCAGGGCCGTAGGATTCCTGGGGGTGGGGTGGGCTGCGAGGGTGGGAACTGGCCGGTGCTGTCCCCCTCATTTTCAGAGTAGCTTCAGCTTCATCATCCATCTGTCCACTCACTCACTCACTCATTCAGCAAATCCTTCTGCAGCCCCAGGCATGTGCCAAGCACTTCTAGCTGTTTGGGCTTTTTCATTAGATTTAGTATGAGCCAAGAATCTGTGGCTGCAACAGCTTTGGAAACTCTTAGACCAGATCACCTGTGAAGTCTGTAAATGTGACATTGAGAGATTCTAAGAATTCCTGTTATTTGTTCAGAACTTTGGACCCCGTGAAGTCCTTTCCGTTGGTTCTCTCAGCTGGTCCTTATGAGGCTCTGCCAAGTGGACGGTTGTTACTCCTGTTTGTTTATGGATTAGGAAAGTGAGAGGCAGAGAAATAGCGACTTGTCATCTACTCTGTGCCAGACATGCTCGGTGCTGGGATACAACAGTGAGCGAGAAAGACATAGGCCCCCCTCAGGTGGAACTTTTGTTTCTAGCCAGAAAAAACATTTTAAAGATTTTATTTGAGAGAGGGAGTGAGCAGGAGGGAGAGGGAGAGAGAATCTTAAGCAGACTCCACGCTGAGGGCAGAGCCTGACTCGGGGCTCAATCCCACAACTGCAAGATCATGTCCTAAGCTAAAACCAAGAATTGGATGCTTAACCGACTGAGTCACTCAGGCACCCCCAGAAAAAAACATTTTAGCAGCTAAATACACAGTCATTTGATTGTGGCTTTGATAAGTGCTAAAAAGGACAAGTCTAGGGAGGCATGAGGGGATCTGCTTGGGGTCCCCAATGGGCCCAGTCTACTGGGAGGCGCTCAGAGAAGATCTGTTTGAGGAAGTGGAATTTGAGCTAAGCTCTAGATTGGGGACCAGCAAATATTTTTGGATCAGATGGCAAATATTTAGGCTTTATAGGCCTACGGTCTCTCACTCAACTCTGCCATATAGCACAAAAGCGGCCATAGACAGTATGTACATGAAAAAGCATGGCTGTGTTCCAATAAAGCAAGCTTTATTTACAAAAACAGGCTGTGGGCCAGGTATGGCCTGCAGGCTGTAGCTTGCTGACCCTGGCTCTAAAGGATGTGTAGGAATTGGTGATTCAAGAGATGAAACCAGGGCTTCACACAGACCCAGAACCAAATCCATCCAAACACGTATGAGCTTTTGTGGATCTGTGTTGCCTCCGTTCCCACAATGTGTTCTCTGCAGGTTGCCTGACCCCCAGAGGACCCACGTGATGTGGGCGGCCAGCAAGGTAGGTTCCTGGCTGGCCTCGGGATGTCGGGGAGGTGGGAGGGCAGAGAGGTGGGTGGAACCAGCTTCCCCGGTGGAGGGCTGGCCACTGCTCAGGGTGCCTTTCTCCGTAGGACTTCGGGATGTCTGGGCTCCGCTTTGGCACGCTGTACACGGAAAACCGGGACGTGGCCACTGCGGTGGCTTCCCTCTGCCGTTATCACGGCCTCAGTGGCTTGGTCCAGTACCAGATGGCGCAGCTGCTCCGGGACCGTGGTGACTGCCTGGGCCTGGTCATTTGAGAAGGGGGGGGAGGTTGTAGTCAGTCGGGGGCGGGCCAGGGATCATGGGTGCTTCTCTCATGAGAAGAACTTAGGGTGGTGTTTGAGAACCCAGGGCCACGACTGGGTTCATAGCCGACTCCGTCGGTTCCTGGCCGTGTGGCACATTCCTTCACCTCCCCAAACCTCACTTCGTGTGATTTGTCAGTTCGAATGATACCTGGGATATAATAGGCACTTAGTCACCACAAACTCATCATTATTAGCTGTGAGTCCTTGAAGAAAGAGAGAGTAGAAGCGACCGAGGGAAAACGGTTATAATGGAAGTATCTCTGCCGACGAGGATCTCAGATAGTGAGTCTGGATAGCAAAGGCGATCTGTAATTGCCACCTTTTATTGAGCCCTGCTAGATGTTCTCATTGCACCAACTCATTGGTCCCTCCCCAGAATCCTAGGAGGCAGATATTCCTGTACTTTGTCCCGGTGTTTTATAGATGTGGAAATGAGGACTGGATACTATACACCTGCTATAACAGCTAAAACTTAAAACAGTAGTGACACCGTCATGTGTTGGCGAGGATGCGGAGCAGCTTCAACTCTCACGCTGCTCTGGGAACGGAAGGGGGCGCGGCCCCTGTGGAAAGCAAGGTTGCTTGCAGAGTTAAACACATGCTTCCCAAATGGCCCAGCAATCCCACTCCCCGCTGTTTACCCTTATGGTCACACAAAACCCACCAAGTGAGTCTTTATAGCTGCTTTGTTCATGATCACCCCAAATGTCCTTCCGAGGATGAAGGAGGGGACAAGCTGGGGTGCATCCACACAGTGGAACACGGCTCTGCAGCGGGATCCAGGGCCACACAGAGTAAGCTCAAAGGCATTGTGCTGAGTGTAAGAGGCCAGTCTCAAAAGGTGACATGACTGTATGATCTCACTTCTGTGACATTCTGGAAAAGGCAAAACCGGAGTGACGGAGAATGGACCCCTGCTTGTGGGGCAGCAGGGCAGTGACATGACTATGAACAGCACGAGGGTGTTCTTTGGGGTGAGGGTGAGGGAACAGTTCGGTGTCCTGCCTGCAGGGGGTGGGTTATACAGATGTGTACATGTGTTAAAACTCATCAAAGGTGGGGGGTGGGGGCGCCTGGGTGGCGCAGTCAGTTAAGCATCCAACTCTTGGTTTCCAGCTCAGGTCATGATCTCAGGGTTGTGAGGTCCAGTCCCGCACTGGGGTTAGGGTTAGATTCTCTCTTTCCCTTTCCCTTTGCCCCCTGCCCCCTCCCCCTGCTTGCACACTTGTGCTCTCTCACCCTCTCAAAAAAAGAAACGTCAAATCATTTAAAAAAAAAAAAAACAATTAAGAAACCCTCATCAAATGGGACACCAAAGAAAGTTAATAGAAAAGCTGAGGATGGGGAGGTGAAGTTGCCCCAGGCCCTGCGTCTTGTCTTTGCCTGGGATCTGAACGGCAGCATCTGTGGCTTGGAAGCATCAGTGTGTGAGTGGGCCATCCTTCAGTTAGGATATGCACCCTGAGGGACCCTGTGTCCGCGGGCCTGGGAGCTGTGAGGCCAGGTATCTGGATTTCTGGTGCTTTCTACCGGACATGGAATATTCCTGCGGCCCCCATCCACCAGCTGGGGAAAGGGTCTTGGCAGCTCGTGGCCTTTCTCTTGTCAGCATTTAGACTCATGGGACAGCGTGGAGGATTGGGGAGAGATTTGTTTGTTGGCTTCTCTTTTCACCCAAACAGACTGGATCAACCAGGTGTACTTACCGGAGAACCATGCCCGGCTCAAGGCTGCCCACACCTATGTGGCAGGAGAGCTCCGGGCCCTGGGCATCCCCTTCCTGAGCCGCGGGGCGGGCTTCTTCATCTGGGTTGACCTGAGGAAGGTAACGCAGGTGGGACTGCAGGCCTGGGGGGTAGTTGAAGCCTTTCTCTGGCAGGTGAGGGGCAGGGGTGTCTCGTCTGCAGCCTGAGCCCCTGCCCACCCTCCCAGTTCCTGCCTGAGGCCACCTTTAAGGAGGAAATGCTGCTTTGGCGCCGCTTTTTGGACAACAAGGTGCTGCTGTCCTGTGGCAAGACCTTCGAGTGTAAAGAGCCCGGCTGGTTCCGCTTGGTCTTCTCGGACAAGGCCCACCGGCTTTGCCTGGGTAAGTGACCTCCCCGCCCCGCCGCACCCTTCATTCTGCACTCCCCCTTCTCGTCCCCACTTGTGGCTCTAGCAACCTCAGCCTGCCCAGCCTTGCCCTCTCAGCCATCCGTGCTACGGGGCTGTCACTTCTCCTTCCCAGGGATGCAGAGGGTCCGGCAGGTGCTTGGGGGCAAATCCCAGGTGGCCGAAGAGCCCCGTTCCTGTCAGACCCAGGAGCCAAGGAGCCAGCGCAGATGAGCTGGTCGTCGCTGGGGGACAGCAGGGCCTGGCAGCCACCGCCAACCCGAGCCATTTGGGGCTGTGAAGACCGACGGCGGATGGGCCATTTGTCAGGCGGGTACCCGACGTGACCTCACCCCCGAAGAAGAACCATTCCTGGCCCCTCTCGGGCAGTGAGAGACTCCTTTGGCTGTGCTCTGCTTCAGCCCCTCCCCCTCTACTAAACAAAACTGGGAGAAACTAAAAGCCTCTGTGGTGAGTAATGTACAGAATGGAGGAGTCGTGACTGCTCTTAAGCACAACCCTTCGCCCCCTGAGATCATGAAAAGAAAACAACGTGTACCTTCTTTTGACTGCACCGTCCTTCCTCCTTTTTTTGCCAGAGAAACAAGTCAGAGGAACAACACATATAAGAGAGAACATGCCCAAGAAATAAACAAGGGTGATAATTCCCAAACCCCAGGAGGAAGGAGTTAATTCTGTGTGTTCCGATTGTTCTCCCCCCGTGAGGGTGTGTGGGCCCACAGGACACCTGGGACCTGGGACAGGCCTCCGCTTGGGCCGCGGTGGACAAGACCCCATGGGAGCAGTCAGGAAGAGCTGCCCTGTCTCTGGGATGCTCTTCCTCCTTCTTCCCGGCCAGGAGCTGCCTTCACCGACATCTCAAACCCCAGTGATCTAGCCACGACTACTGGGGGGGAGATAAGGGCTGGACTTTGAACCCAGGCTGGCCTTTCCACCCTAAGCAGGCAAAGGGCCACTCAGGCCATCCTCAGGGCTGCTTGAGTTCAGAGCCCAAGTGGGCTTTCTGAACTGACCTTAAAGCTGTGTGCGGAGGACCCTTCTCTGGGGTCTCCACTCCGGTGTAGAAAAGCGGTCTCTTTCCTTGCTTCTGTTTTAAGATAATGTGGGGGCAGTCAGGGTGTACTTTCTGCAAACCATAGTGTTTGATATAGGATTTGCTTTCCTCTACCTTTCTGCCTTTCATCCATTCATTCCTTCTCCCTGTCTTTTCTTGAATACCTTCTATGTGCCAGGCACTGGGTTGGTAATTTCTGTGCATTATTTCTAACTTCGACAATCCCGGGAAGCTGACATTATCGTCCACCACTTGAGAGATGAGGCCATGGAGTCTCAAAGAGCTGGAATGACATTCTCAAAGTCATGTAGCTAGAAAGTGTCAGAGCCGGGATTCAAAGTCGGGTCGGTTTGGTTGCGAATCCTGCGGTATTTGTACCCTGCCCAGGTACCAGCAGGAACCAGCAGGATGCTCTGACTCTTTCCAGTCCTGAGAAGCAGGCTTTGTGTTGTCGTCGTCAGCACCTTTAATTGTTGTTCAGTGCCTTTGGCCAAGTATCGCTCCTTTCTATTTCCACTTCCAGGAAACACTGGTACTAGGATTTGTTGGTTCTGGAAAGCTTTCAGGTTTCATGGGTCAGAATAAGAACGGCCGCATCGCCTTTGCATCCCCTTTAAAAACCTCTGTTGTGACGCTGCCGTTGTGGTTCAGAGTCCCCCAAGGAAGGACCCCTGTGATATATTCTGTTCAGAATTCTCAGAAGAAGGACTCCTAGTTCTTCTTTAGAGGGAATCCAAGCTGGCTTCCTCGCAGAGGCGGACCGAACCTGGGATCTGAGCCTGAACCGAGTCCGTACGAGCCCAGCTGGCTGGTGCTGTGTGAAGGGATGTGCTCCATATATCTCTCTCTGTGGAGTCTGGGTCTGGCATATTCTATACCCATCTCAGGTCCCCCTTTGTGCTCACCTTTCTGCTTTTGCTCCTTACGACAACCAGCCAGCTGTGCGTGAGCATCGCCCCGGGGGCCCCTCGGCTGCTCCAAATGTCACTTTCTGTCCCAGGCTTCTCTGACAGCCTGATGGGGCGCGTGCAAACTGGGAACGCTGAGGGAGTTAACACTCCTGGGGCGATCCTTGAACAACAGGGGACGGGAACCAGGATGCATACCCCTGCGTGCAGGTGGACCGCTGTGCAGTAGACAATTCTGACCTTCTGCATGGCTCCTCGAAGAGTGCCGCTGGAATTGGGCCCCGGGTGCCCAGGGCAGTAGCCTGCTCTGTAGCGCACCGCTGGCCAGGCTTTCTTTGTTCTCTTAGACTTACTCCGATCTCTCCATTCCCTAGGATTGCTTCCCAGAATAGCTACCTGCATCAAGACTCAGTCTCAGGGAACCATGCAAAGCAGAGTATACATGAAAGGTCAACAGCATCCACCGTGTGTCTCCTGAGCTCAAGCTACTTTCCCCAACAACTCAGATGCAGGTCCCGGTTTGGGCACCAGAGTGATCGAATGCTTACCTAGTGATTTCTTTTTTTTTTTTTTTTAAAGATTTTATTTATTTATTTGAGAGAGAGATAGCGAGAGCAGGAACACAAGCAGGGGGAGTGGGAGAGCAAGAAGCAGGCTTCCTGCCGAGCAGAGAGCCCGATGCGGGACTCGATCCCAGGACCCTGGGATCATGACCTGAGCCGAAGGCAGACGCTTAACGACTGAGCCACCCAGGCGCCCCTACCTAGTGATTTCTGTGAATCTTTTCAAGAACCATCTATTGTTGGCAATTACAAGGGGAAATGTTTTTCATAGGGAAATGTTTCCCTTTTCCGATCAATGAAAATTCCTAAGCTATTCTATTACTGAAGACTCATTTACAAATGACTAAAAATGGTAAACATAGCTCACGGGTTAAACAAAAGGGGGGTGGGTTTATTGAATTAAGCAGGAAGGGGAAGGACAGATGTTTCAGGCAGGGCTCTAGCCAGGAGTTCAAATGATGCCATCGGATTTTGTGCTCTCTCTTTCTGCCTTCCTCTCTTCATTCTCAAACATGCTCCATTCAGGGGGTGGCAGGATGGCTTCCAGACCGCTCTGAGCTCCAGAGTCCTTGTAGCAGACACCTACAGGGTATGGGAATGATAGAGAGACACCCTTTCTTCCTCAGCATTCATGTCTCTCCTGTTCCAGGAGGCCAATTGGCTTTACCTCAGTCATCCGCCCATTCAGGAGAATGTGGTGCTTGGAACCGGGGTTTTCTTCATCTGTCCACTCTGCCGTCCTAGTGTGTTGGACTTTTCCCCTTCGAGCTTCCTTCCTCATGGTCTCAGTACAGCTCCAGAAGCTCCACACATCACCTCCTCACCAAACACTTCCAGAGACAGGAAAGAATATGGTTTCCTGGGCCTCCTTTTCATTTTATTGCAGTCATTTATTCCCTCATTTATTAAAAAAAATATTTGTTGGGCCTCACATTTCTAGGGGTTCTTTATACATTCTCCAAGTGAGCACTTTGCCAGATACTCTGAAATTATTCACATTCATACTTTGAGCATTTTCTTTATCCTCCTGAACATGGAAATGACCTGAGAGCATTTAACTCTTACTCCTTTGTATTCATCTCCTGTGACATTGTCAGCGAGCATTTTAGTTCATGCCTAGGCTGTTTGTCAGTTTGTTTGTCCCTTCTTCCTCCAGAAACTGCTTTGAAGAGTCATAACTACCTCAGTTTGGGTGAAGACTGGGCAAAATAGAACCTCCACTTTTCACGCTAACATTTTTAGTAACAGTGCTAATGCTACACAGCTATCAACAGGATGTTTCATGTTTAACGCCATGTTTCCTTGGACTCCGTCACCCTAGTGACAAGAGCCAGGCCGTCCTTCAGAATGCTGGGGAGGTAATTGTATTCCCTCCAGCCACGGACCACTTCAGCAAGTACGCTTGTGAGCAGACCCATCTGAAGATACCCCAGCTCCCAGCCCCTCCAAAGCTTAACTTTCACATCCGGGAGTCCTGGGATTCAGGCATCACGATGGTGAGGTTAGCCCTGTTGTTGGCTCCCTCCAAGGCCCACGAGTACTCCAAGGAGGGCTGGGAATTCCAGAAGGAGCCAACCAAGTAGCCTCTCAGAGGAAGCCACCGGCCCCCGTCAGGAACAGGGACAGGGACACCATAGACTGGGACCCCGTTCCAAGGGCAGCTCCCAGCCTTGCCGACTCAATAAAGGACTTTGGAAGTGTTAAAACAAAAAAATCTATGTAGGCTACATCCCGAGGAGAGTTACAGATACCATTTGGTCTAGTACTGGTCTCAGACATCTCTTGAACTTCTGCTGAAACACTGCTTTCTATTAATTTTTAAAAATGGAGGTAAAGTTGACATACAGTGAACTGCACAGGTCTTCATCGTAAGAGGCAATGACTTTGACCAATGTCCCCATCAAGGTGTACAACAATTCCATGGTTCTGAGTCTGCCTGTAGGTAACTGCTATTCTGGTTTCTCTCTCCATGAAGCAATTTCTCAATCAAAGGAACCGCATAGTTGGTCCCTTTTGTGTCTGGGCTATTTTGTTCAACTTAATGTTTGGAGAGTCATTGACATTGTTGCGTGTATCTAGTACATTCTTCCTCTCTTTTTGGCCCTCTCATAGTAATATCCCCTTTTTCATTCTTGGTATTGGTAGCTTTTGCTCTGTCTGCTTTCATTTTTGTCATGAATAGTCAGCTTTATGATGATTTTATTGATTTTGCTGGTTTTATTGGTTTTTTACAATGAACTGTTACTTTTGTTAATGCTTTCTATTGTATATTTGCTTTCTAATTTAATGTTTTGTTTTTTTTTTGCTTACATGTGGACTATGATTTTTGTATAAAGGGAAAATGATTATTTTTTGCTCCTTTCTTCTGCCTTTATGTTTTCCTCACTATTGGCCATAGTCATTGTTATTCCCTGATATAAAGAAAAAATGCAAAATGTGTCTACCTTATTGTGCATAAATTTTACCTCATTAGAAAAAAGGAACTGGAAAATATTGATCTGTAGTTAATGACATGCCTTCGATAAAATATTCAGATGTTAACTACTTGATAGCTGCAATTTATTTTGCAATGCAGCAAAAAATGAGGAGTCAACAATGGGTGGATCAATATGTGATAAGTACCGTAAAATATTAATTATATAGTAGAGATGGTAGATACGTGGGTATTCACTGCAAACTTCTTTCAACATTTCTTTTTTTTACCTTTCACCCCCTTCACCCATTTCTCTCACCTCCCATCCCCACCTCCAGCAACCACCAATCTGTCCTCTGTATCTATATGCTTATTTTTCTAAAATTTGTTTGTTTTTGTTTTTAGATTCCAGTATAAGAGAGATCACCCAGTATTTGTTTTTCTCTGTGTGACTTATTTAGCATGATGTCCTTGAGGTCCATCAATGTCTCTCTTGTTATGGCGGAATAATATTCCATTGTATGGGGGCACCTGGGTGGTGCAGTTGGTTAAGTATCTGACTCTTGGTTTGGGCTCAGGTCGTGATCTCAGGGTCATGAGATCTAGCCTTTGCATAGGGCTCCGTGTTGGGTGTGGAACCTGCTTAAGATTCTCTCTCTCCCTGTGTTCCTCGCCCTGCTCTCTCTCTCCTTCTAAAATAAATAAATAAATAAATATTTTCTTTTAAGATTCTA